CCTTCGAGTGCCATCTGTGGATCGTTGTTTCCTGTGACCCTGGCTCGTCAGTCACCCTTTGGTCCTTTGCCTATGTTGTGCATGCGCTTTCCTGGACCTGCCTGGAAAGTTGGGTGCAGGAGAAGAAAGTGATTTCCTCCGAGCGCTGCACCACTCTATGTCCCCTCGCCCCCCTCCCCCATTCCTGCTCTTTGTTCTTGGTGCAACTTAGAAGGGTGGCTTAGGACAGGTGGAGTTCCGGTTCCCATAGTTAGCGACGTGCCCAGGATAGGAATCGTTCTGGTATCTGGGTCTGGGATATGTTGGTGGCTATGGAGTGGGAAAGTGACAAATGGGACACGTCATGAGGTGTCTTTGTAATCTCCAAGTAGGGGTTCCCAGTGGGCTATTGGAAGCTTGGGAGGGAGGTGGAGCCGGACCACTTAGAGTCATTCAACAGAATGCTCAAATTATAGAACAAGGTCATTGATAACGTGCAAACGACATTTTGCTGAAGAGTATCCAGCAACAGTTGCAGCACTACACTGACAAGGAGCTTCCAGAAGTGCAGGTTGGAGTCAGAAGGGGACTTGGAACAAGGGATCTCATTCCTGATGTCACATGGATCTTGGCTGACAGCAGAGAATACCAGAAAGATGTTTGTGTTTTATGGACTACGCAAAGGCTGTGTTCATCGTAATGAGCTATGGGTAGCCTAGAGAAGAGTGGGAATTCCAGAACATTTCCTTAGGCTTACGAGGAACTTGTACACGAATCAAAAGACATTTGTGCGAAGAGAACAAGAGAATGCCGCAGGGTTTAAAATCTCGAACGGTGTGTGTGAGAGTTGTATCCGCTCACCATATTTATTCAGTCTGGATGCTGAGCAAATCATCCAAGGAGCTGGATTCTGTGAAGAAGGCGTGTGGCGTCAGGATGGGAGGAAGGTTTGTTAACACTATGCAGATGACGCATACAACGTTGCTTGCTGAAAGTGAGGAGGACTTGATGCACTTGCTACCCAAGATGGAGGATCCCAGCCTTTGTGTGGAGTCACAGCCCGATGTAAAGACCCAAATCCCCACAACTGGACCAATAGGTAACATCAGGCTAAATTGAAGTCAAGAATGTTGTCTTACTTGGATCCACGATCAATGCTCATGGAAGCAGCAGTCAATAAATCAAAAGACCCAATTAATTTAGATGTTTATGTGTGTGTGTGTGTGTGTGTGTGTGTATGAAATGTCCAGCTGAGAAAAAAAATCAAAAGACGTGTTGCATTGGGTAAATATTCTGCACAAGACCTCTCTAGGGTGTTGAAAAGCAAGGATGTTATTTTGAGGACTAGGGTGTGCCTGACCCAAGCCATGATATTTTCCATCGCCTCCTATGTATGTGAAAGTTGGATACTGACCAAAGGAGACTGTGGAAGAGTCGATGCAGTTGAACTATGGTGTTAGCGAAGACTACTGAAAGTACTATGGCGTGCCAAAGGAACCAACAGAGATCTGTCTCGGAAGAAGTAGGGCCAGAATGCCCCCTAGAGGCAAAGATGGTGAGGCTTCATCCTACATCTTTTGAACATGTTGTCAGGAGAGACCGGTCCCCGGAGAAAGACATCCTGCTTAGTAACGCGGAGGGGCAGAGGGAGGCCCTCAATGAGAGGGATTGACACGGTGGCAGCAACGGGTTTCATTCTGTCGTGGACAGGGCCGCTGTGGGTCAGAACCGACTCAATGCCACAACAACTCGGAGCCACCACGAGTCAGAATGGACCGGGCAGCAATGAGTTCAGGTTTTGGCATTACCATTAGTTGATGGCGTGGTAGGCTGGTAGCCGTTCCAGAAAACAATTTGCTGGTCTTATGTCAAGAGCCTTCAAAATGCTCATTCCCCTCGTATCAACGTTTCCTAGTCTACGGAAACCCTCCGAAAGTTACACAAAGTAATCTACATCAAGATGTTCATCGTAGCCTTATTTGCAACATTAAAAAAGGAAATGAGAAGCTCCCCTGCACAGTCCATGCCAGGGAGCTGATTAAGGAACGTATGGGGTCTCAGCAGGCTGCCAGTCTCAGCTTGAACACCCAGGAGGCCAAAGACTTCTAGGAGTACCTTCAGAGATAAGATGAGGGTCAGGGGG